TTTCTTTTTCTGCTCTCTTTGTCCCAGGATGATGCCTGCCTAATGACAGTCTTTTGGATATAGAGGGGTCAGGGAGCTGCTTGAGGAGACAGTTTGTACTTTATAGGGGTTTAATTGCTGAGCTGTGCACTCTGTTGTTCATTCAGGGCTGTTAGGCTGCTATGTTTGATTCTGCTGCAACACAGCTCATTACACAACCCTTTTTTTTTTCTCAAATGCTCTGTGTTGAGGGGTTTGGGCTTTATTTTTGGATGTCCGATCAGGTGTCCTGCCCAGCTCAAAGGCAGACTAGCCACTGTTTGGCTGCCGAGGCTCCGCCCTGCTGTTGTGTGATTCGCGCTGTTCCTGCCGGCTCTGCTGTGGTCTCCGCCACGCCCTGCGGCGGAGTCTCTTCGTTGTAGCGTGTTGCCTCAGCAACGGCAGGCTGCGTCAGCAGTGGGCGTGTATCTCAGTAGGGGCGGGTTGCCTCGGCAACGGCTGGCTGCATCAGCAGTGGGCGTGTATATCAGTTGGGGCAGGTTGCTCCATAGTGGTGGATGCCCCTCCCCCACAGAGCATCTCGGACCGTCTGCCCGGGATAGTTTGAAATCGCGGTTTTGTTCGTCCCACTGGGTATCCCAAACGATCTGTCCCTGCAATCCCCTGGGCTGGGCTACTGTGCAAGTCTCGTTCAGTCTCAAGTCCAGCCCTCTCAAGTCTCAGGTTGCCGGTTCAACAAGGCACCCGGACAAGCGCGCCCTGTGGGGATTGCTGGGTAGGGCCAGCCGCCGCCGCCCCGGCTGCCGGCTTCGCCAGGCAGACCTACTGCCTGGCGTCCCGTGTCTTTTTATACTTGGGAGTTTCCCCGTTCTGTGGGCAACAAAGATCAGTCTGGAAATGCAGCACTGACTCACCGTTTGCGAATTCAACGCGGGCTCCAATCCTGGGTTGTTCTCACAGCGCCATCTTGAGTCTCTCCTTCTCCATTTAAATGTTTGCTTGATGTTCTTAATTTTGTCTTGTATGTCCCTTTTGTGTTGCTTTCTGGATAGTTTCTAGTGATTTATTTTGTTTTTCCCTAATTTTCTTTTAAGCAGTGTCTACTCTAAAACCAATCCCTTGGTTTAAGTAAAAAACTTTCTAATCAAGTGTAATACACACTAAAATGTACACCTATCATACCAATATGGCTTGATTAATTTTCCAAATATATCTGTGTAATCATCACTCTACAAGAAACAGATCTACTAGTACCTTAAAAGCCCCTCTTTTGCTCCCTTCAGCCATATTTCTTCTAGAGTAATCTGAGTTTCTACAGCATAGATTGTTACCTGTTTTGTACTTGTATAAGTGGAATCATAAGGTAGGGTTGTTTCTGACTTTTTTACTTAATATTGTTTGTGAGACTCATTTGTATTTTTGTGTGATTAGTAGATTGGTCATTCTCATTGCTATTTAGTATTTTCTCGTGTTAGTATACTACAGTTTATTCATTCTACTGTTGATTAGCATTTAGGTAGTTTTCAATTTTTGGCCATTATTAATAGTGCTGCTATAGACATTGTAACATTCTTTTATTAGACATATGGATGTATTTCTGTTGTTTTCTTGAATTTGTAATATCTGTGTGTATATGTGTGGATGTCCTTATTTACTATTTATAGAAGTTCTATTTGGTTCTTTTTAAAATATGCCATGTTACTTTTTATGGTTTTCTATTCCTTGCAGATCTTTCCAAACTTGCCCTTTTTTCTTTCTTTAAACATATAGTTCATGTTTGATAATTATAATATCTAAAGTTTTGACTTGTCTCTTTCTGGTGTTTATTGTATTTTCTGGTTCATGCTCATCATACTTGGTTTCCATATGTGCCATTCATTGTACTTGAAAAAAGTACTGGTGGAAATAATTTGAGAACTAGAATGAAGTTGCCCTTCTGCAGAGAGGATTTGCATTTGCTGCCTCAAGGAGCCTAGGGACTACTTTAAATTAAATTCACAGCTTGAGGTTTGGGAATATCCATTTGATATGAATTCTGACTGTTAAGTCCATGTGAGGGCTGATTACTAGCCCTTCTTTCTGGATAATCCTGAGTATGTAGTCCTTTGTGGTTCCAACTTAATGTGAAGAGGGTCTCCTGTAAGACACTCCACCTTGGGTGAGCTTTAAGCTTTTGATTCTGTTTTCTTCTCATTGTGAAGACACTGAAACCAAAGTTCAGATTTGCCTGGATCGTCAAATGACTTTAAGATTAAAAAAACCTACAGTTACTGCAGTTCTCTACTTACCTCTTGGAGTTTCTGTTTTATTTTAGTTTGGCCTAGTGATTATTTACTATCTTATAGCTCTCCAATGTTGCTAAGGTTTTTTGCTGAACAGCCAGCATGTTTAGTTGTTTTTGATAGGAGGACTGATCCCAGTTAGCCTACTATTGCTGAGGATAACAAGTTCTTGATTTATATTTCAGAACATTATCTGTGGTTTTTGTGTGAGAAATACACACAAAATGGCTGATTGGGAGGTAAAAGAGGAGCAAGGGCAGAAACCAGAGACCAGTTAGGAATGCTGGCATAGTACAAGTGTGAAATGAACGTGGTTTAGATTAGGGTGTACTTAGAAGGAAAGGGCAATAGGATTTGTTGAAGGTCCAACGTAGGACATGACATAAACAGAGAAGTCAGGGATATCTCTTGGGCTTTTGCATGAGCAGCAGGAAAAGTGGAGGTGCTGTTTCTTGGATGGAGAAGACTAGGAGATGATTGGGGAAATAAATCAAGAGTATAGTTTGGAGAATGTTTTAGGGATCCATGTGGAGATGTTGAGTAAGAAGTTGGAGAGATGTGTCTGGAGTTCAGAATAGAGGTCTGCACTAGAAGCATGTATTTGAGAATCATTAGTACATAGATGACTTAAAGCCATGAGTTAATGAGATGGTCTGTGAAGTGAATATAGTAGAGGAATTTTAAAGCATTTAAAGCATGAGCCCTGGGAACTTGGATGTTTTAGGCTTTGAGAAGATGAGGTGGATTCAGCAAAAGGGACTGAGAAGGGGGCAGTCAATGAGGCATTAAAGCCAAGGGAGAGTGGTGCCCCAGAAGCCAAGAGAAGAAAGTATTTCAGGGAGACAGTAATCAGCTGTGTCATATGCTGCTGAAAGTTTGAGTACATTGCTGTGAACTGACAGTTGATGGTTATATTTGAAAAACATTTACTTTTTCAGCTAGCTGATTGAGTAAAGAGGTGGAAATAAAGTCGTATTGAAGGTGGGCTCAACAGAGAATGGTAACTGAGAGAAATTTAGCTATAAAGGAGAACAGAGAAATGGGACAGTAGCTAGAAGGGAATATGGGAATGGGGCTGAGGGAGAAGGATTCTTTGTATTAATGATAGGAATTGTTACCACAAGATTGTATGCTGGTAAGGATGGTCCTGTAGGCAAGTACTGATATGGGGGATTAGGGGACAGTGCAAGAACAGAGATGGGAAATGGAATCCAGTAGGTAAATAGAGGGGTTACCCATAGAGAGGAACACAGACAGTTCATTTCATAGTAGTAGGAGGTTCAGGTTCAAGTGCAAGTGGATTAGTAGAAGTAATATTGGGACAATGTTTCTATTTTCTTAAAGAAACAATGTCATTTGCTGAGAGTGGGAAGGGAGAAAAGTGAAGGAGGCTTGAAAAGTGAGAAATGTTGAACATTTTGTTTGTTTCTTCCTAGACATGTTTACATTCTATTAAGAGGTGGAGTAATTCAGTTAAATTAAAATTTTGAAAACTTCCTTATAATTATGTTGAACTGCTACAAATTATTTTTTAAATATATAACAAAAATTAGGTATAAAGCATTCATAAGTAGAAAGTCCATCCCCTAAATGTTTTGTAAATTAATTTCATAAAGTTAAAAAAATTTGTTCTTGAAAGAATATCTGGAAAACAGGAAAAAAACACCTCCTTTCCAAATCATCTGTATTCCTACCACCCAAGCATAACAGTACTCTTAGGTTTCTCTCATTTTTTTTCTTTTTAATGCTGAATTGTTTGTTTTTAAAAGAATAGTTAGCCGGGCGTAGTGGCTCACGCCTATAATCCCAGCACTGTGGGAGGCCGAGGCGGGTAGATCACGAGGTCAAGAGATCGAGACCATCCTGGTCAACATGGTGAAACCCTGTCTCTACTAAAAATACAAAAATTAGCTGGGCATGGTGGCACATGCCTGTAATGCCAGCTACTCAGGAGGCTGAGGCAGGAGAATTGCCTGAACCCAGGAGGTGGAGGTTGCGGTGAGCTGAGATCGCACCATTGGACTCCAGCCTGGGTAACAAGAGTGAAACTCTGTCCCCCCCGCCAAAAAAAAAAAAAAAAAAGAATAGTTATAGTCATGCTTTATATGGAATTTGTTATTCTGTGCTTATCAGCTAGCCCTATAAATATTTTTGCCTGTTATCAGATATACTTTTTATAACCGTCGAATAGTTGGCTCATTATTTTCTGAATAATACCCTATTGTTGGACATTTAGGTTAATAATTTTTCATTGTTCCATATAATCATTTTGAATAAATGTTCCTAAGAAACTCATTGTATGCATACCTTTCATTACATGATATGCTGTCATATTTTTGAATCATGTAACTTAGAAAATAATTCTGGCTTGACTTTTTATTGCAACTTCGTAGTCACACTATGTTAAAGTAGATTCTCTTTCCTAATTTTACTAATTATATATTAGGTTTAAAGTCAGTGCAAGGAGGTGGGTGAGGTGGTGCATTCCTTTAGTCCCAACTACTTGGGAGGCTGAGGCAGGAGGATTGCTTGAGCCCAGGAGTTTGAGGCTAGCCTGGACATCATAGTGAGACCCTCATCTCTGAAAACAAAAAACAAAAACACCAAAAACTGTTAAAGTTGGTACAAGGAAACAATGTGTGTGCTGGCAGTATTGATATAACTTTAAGAGTATAATTATAATCTTATACAAAATTTTAGAGTATATATTCAAAGCAAGAAACATTAATTTTTTAATAGGTTGATCCGAGGATTAGTTTTGGATCATGGTGCCCGTCATCCAGACATGAAGAAGTGAGCAGAAGATGCATTTATCCTTATTTGCAATGTTTCACTAGAATATGAAAAAACGTACATGTTACTTTCTCATTATAACTTTAGAAATTGTTTTTTTCTAAAGTTGTTTTAAAATCTTTTTCCTGGGGCCAGGCGCAGTGGCTCACGCCTGTAATGCCAGCACTTTGGGAGGCCAAGGCAGGCAGATTACAAGGTCAAGCGATCAAGACCATCCTGGCCAACATGGTGAAATCCTGTCTCTACTAAGAAAAAAAAAAAAAAATTAGTGGGTATGGTGGCTTGTACCTGTAGTCCCAGCTACTCAGGAAGCTGAGGCAGGAGAATCGCTTGAACCCAGGAGGCAGAGGTTGCAGTGAACCGGAATCATGCCACTGCACTCCAGCCTGGCAACAGAGCGAGACTCCGTCTCAAAAACAACCAAACAAAAAATCTCTCTTTCCTTCCAGATGTATGGTGTAACTACGTCCACCTTTTTTTCCTTTTTTCTCCTGCCTTTACTAGCTGGTTTTTATTAATCTTTTAGAGTCGTGAACTCTGGTTTCTTTTATGACTGTAGAAGAGAAAGAGAAATTGGTAAAAGCTGAAAGAAAATTTATTGAAGATAGAGTACAAAAAATAATAGACCTGAAGGACAGTCTGTGCTCAGTCCAATAAAGGATTCATTTTCATTAATCAGAAGGTGAGAAAGAAAGTTTAGATTTTAATTATTTGTAAATGTTCTTATACATTTCTAAGTGTGGTCTGTGGACCCCTAGGAATTCCTAAGATTTTTTCAGAGAGTCTGTGAGGTCAAAAATTATTTTCATAATAATAATTATGCCTTTTACATTGAATTGACATTTGCAATGATGTTGAAAAGCAATCTGTAAAACTGCTGGCATCTTACAAATCAGAGAAGTAGCACCAATCTATACTAGCAGTTATTGCATTCCTTACTGCCACACCACTGCTCACTTGCAGTGAAAAAAAAAGGCAGTCAGTTTCATTTAAGAATGTCTTGATCAATTGCTAAAACTTATTAATTGTATTAAATTTGGATTCTTAAACATGCATCCTTTTATTATTATGTATGATAAAATATGAGGCATGCACAAAACTTTTTTTTTTTTTAAGATAGGTTCTTGCTCTGTTTCCCAAGCTGGAGTGCAGTGGAAGACTTATAGCTCACTACAATCTTGACCTCCTCGGCTCAAGTGATCTTTCCACCTCAGTCTCCCAAATAGCCAGGACTACAGCTGTGTGCCACCATGCCTGCTTGATTTTTAAGTTTTTTTTTTTTTTTTTTGGTAGAAGCAGGGTATTGCCATGTTGTGCAGGTTGGTCTCCAACTCCTGGCCTCAAGTGATCCTCTTGCCTTGGCCTACCCAAGTGTTGGGATTATGGAACTAGAAACAACAAAGCACTTCTATTGCTTACCAAAATATGCTGGTTGTCTTGAAGGAAAGCACTTGTGTAATTGTTTGAATTGCGAGCTAAACTAGCTACTTTTTCATAGAATGCCACTTTTACCTGAAAGAATGACTGGCAGACAAACTATGGTTATTTAGATATGGGTATTCAGTAGATTTTTCTCAAAAATGAATGAAGAAATCCTATCACCTAAAACAACTGACAGTATTTGTTGGTAATAATATTTGAACTTTTAAACAAAAATTAGAATTTCAGAAAACTTGTATCTGCCATGTGAGCTTGACAGCTTTCCGGTACTTAAAAGACCTTCCTGTTAATAGTAGTGACAAATGTGACTTTTTGTTCACTGAGGTAAAGTTTCCACATGTATAACATAAAATGTGGCAACATGTGGAAACTTTGTGTAACTCAATGAACTAATACTACCTACGTGACTAAAAATGCATGATTTTTATAAAATCGTACATGGATAAATAATCCATTCAGTGTTCTAATTACACCAGTGTGTTTTAATGTGAGATAGTATTAAAAGCTCATTGCTGTGGTTTCATAGTGAAACTAACCTTTGAGAAACTATTACTTTTTGAGTTTTGGTATAGTATCAAAGGAGAATTTCCATAATTGTCTGAAAGGTTATTAAAATATTACTCCTTTTACAATATTTATCTGTGTGGGGCCAGATTTTCTTCATAAACTTAAACCAAAATAACATATCATTCCAAATTGAATACTGAAGCAGATATGAGAATCCACTTGTTTTCTATGAAGATAGACATTGAAGAGATTTGCGAAAGTGTAAAATAATGCCAGCATTAGCTCACTATATATATTTTTGCTTTCAAAAGTATAGTAAATTTTAATTTAAAGCATTGTATATATTAACATAAAATGGGCTTATTATTTAAATGAATTAATAAATATTTAAAAATTTTCTTAGTTTTTATAACATGATAAATATTGTAGATAGAGCTTACATACACAGAAACTCTTTGGGTACTTAATAATTTTTAAGAAAATAAAGTGGTGCTGAGACCAAAAGGTTTGAGAAATACCGGTTTAAAACATGTTTATCATTTTTATGCTAACTTGCTTATAGGGAATCGATCCGTTTTCCTTAGATACTCTTGCAAAACATGGAATAGCAGCTCTCTGCAGAGCAAAAAGAAGAAATATGGAAAGGTAAGCTTGCAGATAATTATATAGCCCAAGTTTTTAACAGAGTAAATGGAAATTAGCCCATGTATTTTCCTTTTAGCTTATGTGTAAATGTTGTTGAACAAAAGAGTAGCATAAAAAATCCAAATTTTGTTCTTAGTTTCAGTAAATAATTGAACTGTCAAAAAGCAAGGTTGTTAACTTACTGCAGAACTTTGTTGAAGTATAAGGAAAGTTTTTATCTTTTTAAAACATTTTAAAAACAAAATAATACAACATAATACAGCATGATCTCACTTTTATATATGGAATCTAAAAAAGTTGAACTCATAGAAGTAGATAGTAGAATGGTGGTTATCAGGGACTGGGGCAGTGGGAGGGGAGGGGCATTGAGAACATGTAGGTCGAAGGATACAAAATTTTAGTTAGGAGGAAGAAATTCAAGAGATCTATTGTTCAACATGGCAACTATAGTTAATAACAATATATTGTTATTTTAAAAAATGTTTTGCAAACCCACCCAAGAATACACAATGTATTGTATTCTTAGCTTGATTTAGCCATTCCACAGTATATACATATTTAAAAATATCATGTTGTACTCGATAAATATAGATAATTTTATTAGTCAATTAAAAAACAAAACCCAAACAGTACAATACAGTAACAATACAGTCTTTTGCATATCTTTTCTTCTCTAAGAAATTATTATTTATGTTTTTCATAATTGAGCTATGGCGACATATATGTAATTTCAGACTCTCTCTTGCTTGTGGTGGAATGGCTATGAATTCTTTTGAAGATCTCACTGTAGATTGCTTGGGACATGCTGGTCTTGTATATGGGTACACATTAGTGAGTATTTCTGTGAATAGTAGTTATAAAGTGAATACCAAGCCTTTCTTTTTTTAAAATATTACTTGATCTTTTATTTCATGTTTTGTGTTTTCAGATCTAATTCACAGAACAGATTTTACAATTTATTTACCTAAATGTTAAGAGTTCAGATATAACTTAACTCCTTTAAAATGTATCTTTAATTATGCTTGATAAGAAAAATTCACATGAAGATTGCATTCAAGTATAAATTAAGTGTTGATTTTAGAATGACATTAAATATTAAAGTTATATATTTTTGTGCCGTCCTTTAGGGTGAAGAAAAGTTCGCTTTTATTGAGGAGTGTGTTAACCCTCGCTCTGTCACCTTGTTGGTTAAAGGACCAAATAAGTATACTCTCACACAAATCAAGGATGCCATAAGAGAGGGACTTCATGCTATCAAAAATGCCAGTGAAGATGGTAAGCTCTTGTGATGGATATGACAGAGTCTCGCTCTGTGGCCCAGGCTGGAGTACAGTGATGCGATCTTGGCCTACTGCAACCTCCGCTTCCCAGGTTCAAGTGATTCTCCTGCCTCACACTACCAAGTAGCTGAGATTACAGGTGTGCACCACCACACCTGGCTAATTTTTTATATTTTTAGTAGAGATGGGGTTTCGCCATGTTGGCCAGGCTGGTCTTGAACTACTGGGTTCAAGCAATCTGCCTTCCTTGGCCTACTGAAGTGCTGAAATTATAGGTGTGAGCCACCATGCCTGGCCTTTTAAAATTTTTTTAAAAAATTTTACTTTTAAATTTTAAATCTTAATCTATTTGTTTTGAGACCAGGTTTTGAAACAGGCTAATTTTTGTATTTTTGATAGAAATGAGGTTTCACTGTGTTGCCAAGGTTGGTCCTGAACTCCTGGGCTGAAGCAATCCACTTGCCTTGGCCTCCCAAGTGCTGGGATTAGAGGCATAAGCCACTGCGCCTGGCTGCAAACCACACACACACACACACACACAGACAGACAGACACAATTTTTTTTGAGACAGGGTCTTGCTCTGTCACCCAGGCTGGAGTACAGTGGCGTGATCATGCAGCCTCAAACTCCTGTGCCCAAGTGATCCGCCCACCTTAGCTGGACAACAGGTGCATACCGCTACACCTGGCTAATTTTTTTTTTTTTTTGAGTTGGAGTTTCACTCTTGTTCTCAAGCTGGAGTGCGATGGTGTGATCTCGGCTCTCTACAGCCTCTGCTTCCCAGGTTCAAGAAATTCTCCTGCCTCAGCCTCCCAAGTAGCTGGGATTACAGGTGTACCCCACCACACCTGCCTTACTTTTGTATTTTTAGTAGAAACAGGGTTTTACCATGTTGGCTAGGCTGATCTCGAACTCCTGACCTCAGGTGATCTGCCTGCGTTGGCCTTCCAAAGTGCAGGGGTTACAGGCGTGAGCCACTGTGCCCGGCCTACACCTGGCTGATTTTTAAATCTTTTTGTAGAGATGAGGTCTCTCTATGTTGCCCAGGCTGGTCTTGAACTCCTGGCCTCAAGCAGTCTTCCCACCTCAGCCTCCCAGAGTGCTGGGATTTGCAGGCATGAGCCACCACATTCAGCTGATGTTAAGCATCTTTTAATGTGTGTATTTGCCCTCCACATGTTTGTTGAATTATCTGTTTAAATCTTTTGCCCTTTGAAAAATTGGATCGTTGGCCATGCACAGTGGTTTTCACCTGTAATTCCAGCACTTTGCGGGGCCAAGGTGGGAGGACTGCTTGAACCTACGAGTTTGAAACCAGCCTGGGCAACATAGCAAGACCATGACTCTACATACATACACACAAATATCCAGGTGTGGTGGTCTGCATCTATAGTTCCAGCTACTTAGGTGGCTGAGGCAGGAAGGTCACTTGAGCCCCAAGAGTTTGAGGTTACAGTGAGTTATGATCACACCACTGTACTCCAGTCTGGGTGACAGAGCAAGACCATTTCCAAAAAAAAAAAAAAGGAAAAAAAAATTGTGTTATTAGTTTTCTATTTCTGAGTTTGAGAGTTCTTTGTATAAATATTGGATACAAGTGCTTTTTCAGGTATATGATTGGCAGATTTTTCTCCTCTATGACTTATTATTAACAGTGCTTTTCAGAGAAGTTCTTAATTTTGATGAAATCTAATTTATTATTTTTATTCTCTCATGAATTATGCTTCTGGTGTGGTATCTAAAAAATCTTTACCTAACATAGGGTTACAAAGATTTTCTTCTAAAAGTGTTATAGTCTTAGGTATTACATTTAGGTCTGTGATTCATTTTAAGTTAATTTTTATATGTGGTACAAGTAGGATATAAGTTCATTTTTTCATATAAAGGTATCAGATTGTTTTAGTCTTATTTGTTGAAAAGACTTTACTTCTTACTACGGAATTGCCTTTGCTCCTGTATAAAAAAAATCAATTTTTCATATTTGTGTGGTTCTATTTCTGTGCTCTTTTTTCTGTTCTACTGATGTATTGTCTATTTTACTGTTAATATCCTACTGTCCTGATGGCTGTAGCTTTATAATAAATCTTGAAATCAGTATTGTTAACTCTCATTTTAAAGTTATTTTGGCCATTCTAAGTCTTTGGCATTTCCATATGAATTTTAGAATCAGCTTGTCAATTTCTACCAAAAAGACTTCTGCTGGGATTTTGATTGGAATCTTTTTTTTTTTTTTTTTTGGTTTTGTTTTGTTTTTGAGACAGGGTCATACGCAGTTGCCCAGGCTGGAGTGCAGTGGCATGATCATGGCTCACGTACTGGGCTCAAGTGATTTTCCCACCTTAGCTTCCCAAGTAGCTGGAACCACAACCGTGCATCACTCTGCCTGGTTAACTTTTTTATTTTCTGTAGAGACAATGTCTCATTATGCTGTTGTCCAGGCTGGTCTAAAACTCTTGGACTCAAGTGACTCTCCCACTTTAGATTCCCAAGTAGCTGGAACCACAACTGTGCATCACTATGCCTGGTTATTTTTTTCATTTTCTGTAGAGACAACGTCTCATTATGTTGTTGCCCAGGTTGGTCTCAAACTCTTGGACTCAAGCAATCTTCCCACCTTGGCCTCCCAAAGTGCTGGGATTACAGGTGTGAGCCATTGCACTTGACTTGATTGGAATTTTATTGAATCTATAGATCAATTTGGGGATAGTTGATATCTTAATAATGAGCCATCTAACTCATGAATATCATCTTATCTATTTATTTGAGTCTTCTTGAATTTATCTCAGCAATATTTTGTAATTCTTAGTATACAAGCCTCACTTTTCCCCCCATATTTATCTCTCTATATTTCATTTATTTTTTTGCTATGGTATATGTTATTTTTAAAATTTCAATTTCTGATTGTTAGTTGTTAATACATAGAAATATGGTTTATTTTTATACATTGATATTGAATTCTGCAAGCTTGCTAAATCACTTATTAGTTCTATTAGCTGTCTTATAGGCTTCATTGAATTGTCTATATAACTTATCGTGTTGTCTGCTAATAAGACAGTTATATTTTTTTCCTTCCAATATGGATATTTAAAAAATTTCTCCCTTATTTCATGGGCTAGAACTACCGGTATAATGTTGACTAGGAATAATGAGAATGGACATCCTTTCCTCATTCCTGATCTTAGGGGGAAAGCATTCAATCTTTCTCCATTACGTATGATGTTAGCTATAGTTTTTTTTTTTGTTTTTTTGTTTTTGCCTCAAAAAGTGACATTTATTCAAAGAAAAAAAAAATGACAAGATGTCCATCCCTTGGCTCCCTTCCCTCCCGCCTCCTGCTACTCCTCAGCTCCTCCCAAGACTGAACTCTGGCTGGGGTTAGGTGGCAGGACAGCCCCTCGGATGAGGTCAGCAACACTGAGGGGCATTTCCTCAATGGAGGTGTTGTAGAAGGTCTCTATGTCTCGAAGAGTCTGCTTGTCTTCTTCTGTCACCATGTTAATAGCCACACCCTTACGGCCAAACCATCCACCCCGACCAATTCTGTGGATACAGTTTTCCCTGTTGGTGGGAAGGTCATAGTTGATGACTACAGAAACCTGCTGCACATCAATGCCTTTGGCCTGCATCAAGAAAGACAACTCTTCAGCATATGCATGAGAGTCTATCCCGAAGGGATGACACATGGATATCCATGTAGGCAGCCAAGGAAAGCAGAGGAAATAAGCATCCCTGTTCCCCCAAAGACCTTAGGCATGCCAGATTCTATTCCAAGTTGCTACTTTCCTGAGAGGGGCACTGGATGTCCCCTTGGAGAGGGAATCACCTTGGATAGCTATAGGTTGTTATCAGGTTGAGGAAGTTCTCTTCTGCACCTAGTTTGCTGACAGTTTTTAATCAGGAATAAATGTGAAATGTCAAGCTGGGGGTGGTGGATCACGCCTGTAATCCCAGCACTTTGGGAGGCCAAGGCGGGTGGATCACCTGAGGTCAGGAGTTCGAGACCAGCATGGCCAACATGGTGAAATGCCATCTCTTCTAAAGATACAAAAATTAGCTAAGTGTGGTGCCAGGCACTTGTAGTCCCAGATACTTGGGAGGCTGAGACAGGAGAATCTCTTGAACCTGGGAGGTGGAGGTTGCAGTGAGTTGGATTGTACCATTGCACTCCAGCCTGGGCAACAAGAGTGAAACTTTTTTTTTTGACACACACACACACACACACACACACACACTCTCTCTCTCTCTCTCTCTCTCTCACAGAATAAATGCCCAATGCTTTTTCTGCATCTATTAAGATGATCATATGATTTTTTTCATTTAGGTTTTTTTTTTTTGGGGGGGGGATGGAGTCTTGCTTTGTCACCCAGGCTAGAGTGCCATGGCAAAATCTTGGCTTGCTGCAACCTTCGCCTGCCAGGTTCAAGCAATTCTCCTGCCTCAGCCTCCTGAGTAGGTGGGATTACAGGCACACTACCACACCCGGGTAAGTTTTGTATTTTTTTTAGTACAGATGGGGTTTCACCCTGTTGGCTTGGCTAGTCTCAAACTTCTGACCTCAGGTGATTTGCTTGCCTTGGCCTCCCAAAGTTCTGTGGGTATAGGCATGAGCCACTATGCCGGGCATCATTTAATTTTTTAATGCAGTAAATTACATTGATTGATTCAACTGTTCAACTAACCTTACATGCTTGGGATAAACGATATTAGTTGTAATGCATCTTTTAAAAAATTTAATGGATTACATGTTTTTAAATTGTGGTAAATATACATAACGTAAAATTTACAGTTTAACACTTTGTAAGTGTACAGTTCAGTAGTAGTAAGTGCATTCACAGTGTTATGTAACCATTATCACCACCCATCTCCAGAACTTTTTTTCCTTGCAGAACTGAAACTCTGTACCCATTAAACAATAACTCTCCATTTCCTACCTACCTCTCCAGCCCTGGGTAACCACCATTCTACTTTCTGTATCTATGAGTTTACTCTATGTATCTCATATAATTGGAATCATACAGTTTTTATCCTTTTGTATCTGGCTTATTTCACTTTGCATAGTGTCATCAAGGTTCCTTCATGTTGTAGCATGTGCCAGAATCTCCTTCCTTTTTACTGTTGAATAATATTCTATTATATGTATATACCACAATTTATTTGTCTATTAATAGAAATATGTGTTGCGTTTCATTTACCTTTTGGCTATTGTAAATAATGCTACTATGTGTATTATCCTTTTTATGTATTGTTTGACTTAACTGGCTAAAATTTTGTTAAGAATTTTTACATATATATTGTAAGGGTCTGTGTATATTTTTTCTTATAATACTTTTATCTTTTTCAGTGTTAGAATAATGCTGTCTTCATAGAGTGAATTGGAAAGTTTTTCTTGTTCAAATTTCTGAAAGTGTTAAGTTATTGTGGAGAATTGGTACTGTTTCTTTCTTAAATGTTTAGTAGACTGTCAATAAATCCATCTGAGCCTGGAGTTTTCTTTGTGAGAAAGCTTTTAATGACAAGTTCAATTTTTTTAATAGACATAGACCTATAAAGGTTTTTTTTTGTTTGAGTGAGCTTTAGTGATTTGTGTCTTTTGAGAATTTGTCCACTTCATCTAAGTTAGGACCATCAACTACTATCTAGGATCTAAATCTGGTTTGCTGGCTGTTTTGGGTAAATAAAGTTTTATTGGAATGTGGCCATATTACTTTGTTTGTGTACTGTCTGTGGCTATTTCTGGGTTACAGTGGCAGAGTTGAATAGTTGCAAAAGAAATGCTATGGCCTGAAAAATATTAACTGGCCTTTTACAGAAAGTTTACTGACCTCTCTGATCTACAGTTTCAACTTTGGTCATGGCTCACTGAAGCCTTGACTTCCCAGGCTCAGGCAGTCCTCCCACCTCAGCCTCCCAAGTAGCTGGGATAACAGGTGTGTGTCACCACACCCAGCTAATTTTTGTATTTTTTGTAGAGAGAGGATCCTACTATGTTTCCCAGGGTGGTCTTGAATTTCTGGGCTCAAGTGATCTACCTGCCTTGGCCTCCCAAAGTTCTGGGGTTACAGGAATGAGCCACCATACCCTGCCCTTTTTTAGTTTCTTAAGGTGGAAGCTGGGGTCATTAGTTTGAGAACTGTCTTCATTCCTAATATAGGTGATAGTGGTATAAATTTCTCTTTAAATAGTGCTTTAGGAATGCTAAAATTTTGATACCTTGTGTTTTCACAAGGAATGGGATCAGGGAGGTTTTCAAAGATTCTAGTAATCTCTTTCTTAAGGTGGGTGGTAGGTACATGGATACATTTGTTTATTTGTACATTTATTCTTTATATTCTACACATATAAATATTCTTTTGAGTGTATTCTGTATTTAACAAGGAACTTCTTAAAAATGTGAATGGGAGGTAATGATGTAATCATCTGGTAGGTAAACAACTCTTTGATTATATTGTGAAGTGAAGCAGAAAAGGGGTAGTAATTTTAAAATGATGTGAGATAAAAGGGAGATTATTTTTGTACTGTTTTGTTTTAAAGATGGGTGATTCTGAAGCAAATTTACTGATTTAAGTAACAGTCATAAACTTTATGAAACCGTACAAGTAGCAGATATAAAAGTCATATCCTGATGTGAAAATTGATGTGTTTAACCAAAATTCTTGCTTTAGAAAATAGTACCACTTAAATTTTTTCTTAGATAGCAGTTTGAGTTCTGCTCCAATACAAAAAACAAATACTTCATTGAGTTCCAAGAATTCCCTATCAAAAACTATGGCCAAATTATCTTGGCCTAAAACATTTTCATGTCAGATATTGTAATCAGTTACATGTCAATATAAATTAAAAATAATGACCTCTTAAAAGTAGTCATAAGGCTGGGTGCGGTGGCTCAATGCCTGTAATCCCAGCACTTTGGGAGGTGGAGGTGGGTGGATCACTTGAAGTCGGGAGTTCAAGACCAGCCTGGCCAACATGGTGAAACCCCGTCTCTATTAAAAATACAAAAATTAGCTGGGTGTGGTGGTGTATACCTGTAATCTCAGCTACTTAGAAGGCTGAGGTAGGAGGATCACTTGAATCTGGGAGGCAGAGGTTGGAGTGAGCTGAGATCATGCCACTACACTCCAGCCTGGGTGACAGAGTAAAATTCCATCTCAGAAAAAAAAAAATAGTTATAAAGAGATTAAGGTATAAAGAAATTATTCTCATTTACCAGAGGATAAGCAGCGAAATAAGCTGTTTGCAGCCAGTTATCTGTACTATGCCTATTTATTTAATGACATAGAACCTCAAAATGTTTCATAAGACAACTAATTATTGAGCTGTGCAATTTATTTGATTTCTGTAGACAGTAAAACATAGTTGAATAGTTAATTGCTTTTTTTATCTATCTCTTTTTTGGTCTTTATGGCATGTCTTGCCAATCATCTTTTTTCTCTCCGATAGGTTGTGTGGTTCCTGGGACTGGTGCAGTTGAAGTGGCAATGGAGGAAGCTCTTGTTACATACAAGAAAAGAGTAACAGGAAGAGCTCATCTTGGAGTCCAAGCTTTTGCTGATGTTTTACTCATTATTCCCAAGGGATAACTACCCTTTCTGCCAAATAACAACTGGTTAGACACAAAGGTGTTTAATTACAAATTGCACATATTATCTGATAGTTAATGGAGTAGACAGACAGGCATTTATATGCATTTCCTTATACAGTTTTCTCTTAGGTATTTTACAACTAAAGCAGGGAAACTTTTGGGATAACAGCCCAGAATCCTTGCACCGTCTCGTGAAATAGCCAACTTATCCCCTTGTTTGCTTCTCTGAGTTCCAAAAATTACAGTGGCTCCAAAAATTTCCTTCAGAAATGACTCATGATTAATTAATCATAATGAAAAAGTTTAGAACTTAAAATGTAGTTAGATTTTATGGTACATCTTTGCTTTGTTAGTGGTATCCAAATGCAATCAATTTGTAAAGAGTGAGGACTTGAGGCTGTTTAGCATTCCGAGATATAACCTTCCGTTTGTCATCACCATTATAATTCCTAGAAAAAGAGAAAACAGAATTTTTCCATGTAGCAACCTAAGGACAGAAAACAACCATTCCTTTCTCTTTGCCTTAATTGGTTTTGAACCACCTTAGAAATATCCTAAAATTACTTTAAAGATGCTCTTACCATGAATCAAAACATTATTAACAATACTAGCAAAATCTCTTTGCTAATTTCTATTAAAATTATTCGTAATTTGTGAAATCTTTGTGAATTAGATTTCTTTTTCTTTTTTTTTTTTTTGAGACGGAGTTTCACTCTTGTTACCCAGGCTGGAGTGCAATGGCGCAATCCCAGCTCACTGCAACCTCCACCTCCTGGGTTCAGGCAATTCTCCTGCCTCAGCCTCCTGAGTAGCTGGGATTATAGGCGCACATCACCATGCCCAGCTAATTTTTGGTATTTTTAGTAGAGACGGGGTTTCACCATGTTGACCAGGATAGTCTCGATCTCTTGACCTTGTGATCCACCCGCCTCGGCCTCCCAAAGTGCTGGGAATACAGGCGTGAGCCACCACGCCCAGCCTGTGAATTAGATTTCTATTTTTTCTTTCCCTAGAGCAGCAAAGTCAGTATGATCCTGTTGTTGACAGAAATTGGTAACCCCAGAATACATTGGTGGTACCTTTTTCCTCACCAGCTGGTGATTTGGGACCACTTGGAAATGAGCCTGGTTTGGAGTGTGGGTATCTCCAACCCTGTTACCACAGGTCATGACTTTCCTCATGAAGATGAGGGGTACAAAGGTGCTGCAAATATTCTGGTTTCCCTAGCAAGTGCCTAGGAAGAATTGGAGGGTATGTGGCTAGTGGCTCTAGAGGAAACAAGAACATCACTCTACTTCCTTCCACACCAAAAAAACAAAAAACAAACAAACAAACAAAAACCTTTTGCAAGGAGGGAAATGAATGTAGTAGGCTGGAAATGGGGAACTCTGATGTCCTCAGAATTTAGTGTGATGTGCAAGGGGAAATGTTTAAGTAAATATAAAAACTACTAGGTAGATGAAATAGTAATTTGATTTAGATTAAAAGTGGAAAAGGGAGTTGATTGCCATGTTATAGATGTGTTTTTACAAGACTAAAGAGTATTTTTATATTTGATATATGTGAAGGTATTATGCATCTATATTTATTATTATTTTTTATTCCTAAAGGTTCTTGCTCAGAATGCTGGTTATGACCCACAGGAAACACTAGTAAAAGTTCAGGCTGAGCATTTCGAATCAAAACAACTTGTTGGCATAGATTTGAATAAAGGTAAGAAAGTGAAGGAAAATTAGCTGCTTAATAAAGAGAGTATTCTTCAGTTATCCAGATCTTCTAGTAAAGGAGTGGAGGTTTGGGTAACTTTAATATTTAAATTTTAGATGCCTATAATTTATTTTTGAGCTTCTTAAAATATTCATTCATTTAAGAAATAGTTATTAAGTACTTGTTTTTCTCTTGGGCTTCACATAGAACAAAACAGACAAAATTATCTGCCCCTGGGAGCTTATGTTGTAGTGGGAGAAGGTAGTCAGTAAATAATAACTTTAATAAATAAACTCCTTCAGCATTGTAGAAAGAAATGAATTATATGACAAAGAGTGGTATAATAATGATCACGAACCCTAGTACAGGAGGGTAGAGAAAGAATGACAGCTTTAAGAGGTTGATCAGGATAGGCACCATTGAGAAGATGTCCGTTGAAAAAAAGTGGAAGGAAGTGAGGAAATTAGCCATGTGGGCAACTGGGGTTAAGTGTTCTAGGAAAAGGGAACAGCCAGGGGAAAAGCCAGTGTCTGATGTTTTTGAGGAAGGAGGAAGGAGGTATGAGAGGTGACAGAAGCTTACATCATGCAAAGGCATTTGGGCCAGTCTCAGGACTTTGGCTTTTCCTTTAGAGGAGCAGGGAGCAATTTTGAGTAGAGGTGTGACATGGCCTAATTAATTAATATATGAGACAGTCTGGTTCTGTCGCCCAGGCTGGAGTTCAGTGGCATGATCTCAGCTCACTGTAACCTCTGTCTCCCAGGTTCAAGCATTTCTTTGGCTTCAGTCTCCCAAGTAGCTGGGATTAACAGGTGCCAGCTGCCATGCCTGGCTAATTTTTGTATTTTTAGTAGAGACAGGGTTTCACCATGTTGGCCAGGCACATGGCCTAATTATGTTTAAGAGGATCACTCTGGCCACTTTCCACTCTGTGGAGAAGTCAGCTGAATAAGCAGAAGGTTGGAGTTGTAATCAATTGTGGTGGAAAAGATTGGCTGGAGTAGGTTGTGGGTGAGAGGACATCAGCATTCAGTTTTGGCAGAGTCAAGGTTGAAGCATCTGCAATCTTTTAATTAAAGAAGTTGGGCCAGGCGCGGTGGCTCAAGCTTGTAATCCCAGTACTTTGGGAGGCCGAGGTGGGTGGATCACCTGAGGTCAGGAGTTCAAGACTGGCCTGGCCAACATAGTGAAACCTCGTCTCTACTAAAAATACAAAAGATTAGCTGGCCTGGTGGCATGCACATGTAATCCCAGCTACTCAGGAGGCTGAGGGAGGAGAATCACTTGAACCCGGGAGGCGGAGGTTATGGTGAGATGAGGTCTTGCCGTGGCTCTTCAGCCTGGGCAACAAGAATGAAACTCTGTCTCAAAAAAAAAAAAAGTTGGATATATGGGTCTGGAGTTGAAGGAAGAGGTCTGGGTTGGAGATTAAAACTTGAGAGTCAGGCTGGGCGCAGTGGCTCATGCCTGTAGTTCAGCACTCTGGAAGCCGAAGTGGGCAGATCACTTGAGGTCAGGAGTTCAGACTAGCCTGGCCAACATGGTGAAACCCCATCTCTACTAAAAATATGGAAATTAGCCAGGCATGGTGGAGAGCACCTGTAATCCCAGATACTCACGAGGCTGAGGCAGGAGAATTGCTTGAACCCAGGAAGCAGAGGTTGCAGTGAGACGAGATTTCGCCACTGCACTCCAGTCTGGGTTACAGAGAGAGATCTCTGTCTTAAAAACAAAAACAAAACATCACAACCTCCCCTGCTCCCAACCTTGAGAGTCATCAGATGTGTATGGTTGAAATCTAAAAATCTGGATGAGATCACCTAGGGAGTAAGTGTAGAGAGAAAAGAGTCTATAACTGAACCTTTGGGTACTCCAACATTGAGAGGTCAGGGAGGGAGAGGAAGAACCAGTGAAGTAATCAGAAAAAGAGCCACTAGTGCAAAAGAAAGAAAACCAGGGGAATGTAGTGTCCTGGCAGACAAGAAAGAGTAAGCAGGAGAGTGTGATTAACTGTGTTAAATATTGATAGATGAGGCCTGAGAATCAACCATTGGATTTAACAATATGGAGGTCATTGATGACCATGACAAAAGTAGTTTTGGTAGTGTATTAAGTATTTTTAGAAGGTACCAATTAATATTAATAGAAAATACTAATATTTTGGTATTAAAATTGTTTTTACTTTGCAGGTGAGCCAATGGTAGCAGCAGATGAAGGAGTTTGGGATAATTATTGTGTAAAAAAACAACTTCTTCACTCTTGGTAAGTTTGTATGAACATAAAGTGAAAGACCTTTAGAGTTATAATTGATAATATTAAGATGAAAATATTTCTATTATTTTTGTCACTCTACAGTGGAAAAATTGTCAAGTGTATGAAAGATGTAGTATTCAGTTATTAGGAATAGCTTCTGTCATTTTATAGTCCATAGTCCCTTTTATGTTTTAGGTCTAGCAGTGTTAAATTATAAGAAAAATTAATCTATTTCAGGGGGAAGGTAAAGGGGAAATTTTGCTGAAATAGTAGCACATGCATGGTGGAGAAAATCAAATGATATTGTAAAAATAAGCTCAATTTTGTTGGAATATAAATCAGGCATCCACCTTATCAGCAAAAGAGTTGAAATTATAATACAAAGGGTAACATTTGGGCCAGGCGTGGTGGCTCACGCCTGTAATCCCAGCGCTTTGGGAGGACAAGGCAGGTGGATCACCTGAGGTCAGGAGTTCAAGACCAGCCTGGCCAACATGGAGAAATCCTGTCTCTACTAAAATAAAAAATTAGCTGGGTGTGGTGGTGGGCACCTGTAATCCCAGGTACTCGGGAGGCTGAGGCAGGAGAATTGCTTGAACCTGGGAGGTGGAGGTTGCAGTGAGCTGAGGTGTCACCATGCACTCCAGCCTGGGCAACAAGAATTAAACTCCGTTTAAAAAAAAAAAGGGTGACATTTCTATTTATAATAGCCTTGTCTCATAAAATATCATACAACATCATTAAAGAACCAAGTACCCTACATAGCTAAAGATTGCTGGGGGAAAAAGTTAAGAGTGGGTTAGGTAGGCTTTACTCACTCTCTAATTTTTTTCTTTAGCACAGTGATTCCCACCAACATTCTCCTGGTTGATGAAATTATGCGAGCTGGGATGTCTTCTCTCCAAGGGTGATGGAATTCAAAATCAACTCTTAAAGAAAATGAAATGTAATACCCTTTATATCTGACTACTTTTGTGTAGCCTGAGCCATTCTGAATTTCTGCACAATAAATGCAGTTTATATCTTTCGGGTCTTAACAGTCTCAAAAATATTTCATCAAGGTATGAAGAACACAAGAAATACATTTACAGTAAAGGAATAATAATTGAAATATTTCCCCAAGGGTCCTAACTTCCCACATATATGTTATATGCTATTGCAGTTTTTATAACATAGGATATTTATGATTCTTACACCTTTTGGAAAGTTTTAATTAACAACATAGAGTTTTAATGCACCCAAGTAAATTTCCAATTTATCAGAGGGTATAAATGTAGTAGGACAAAAATGTTTCATTTTCTCTCAAAATTCTTTCAGTGATTTCTTGCTGCCACTCTTTCCTCTTGTAAATATGGAATATAGCTCTGAATTGCATTGTTTATAGTATCTGACTCAATTTATTTTGTATATCATCTATTATATTTTACCTGACGTTTTTGTGTATATGATCAACAATTTACGCTACTGTGCTAGCTCTGGTAGTTCTCTGACTAGATGGTGAGATGGACAGGTCTCATCTGGAAAGATGAGATTTGTTGAAACCAACAGTGGAAAATAATTGTTTTTGGCTTAGAATGCAACTGTTCAGTATAGATATTATAGCAATATCTTTCTTGTTTGAAACTCTAGAATTAATCTATTATGCTTTTTATTGTTATCAGAGTTCTTGTGGTTTTCTTTCCATGGATGCTAGTTGATAAGAGACTAAAATATAGCAGGTGCATTAATGGAACTTGGGCCTGTTTGCACATATAGGAGAAGGTTCCTTTAACCATTTAATACCTTAGTTGAGAATCTATGATTTTATGGTCTGTTTTTTTTCACTTAATGTGCTGTCAACATCTTTCTAAGTCAGTATTTAGACTTCTTTTTTGTTTTTTTTTTTTTGAGACAGAGTCTCACTCTGTCACCCATGATCTCAGCTCACTGCAACCTTTGCCTCCCAGGTTCAAGTGACTCTCCTGCTTTAGCCTCTTGAGTAGCTGAGATTACAGGTGTGCACCACCATGCCTGGCTAATTTTTGTATTTTTAGTGGAGATGGGTTTCACTGTGTTGACCAGGCCAGTCTTGAACTCCTGACCTTCAGTGATCCGTCTGCCTCGGTCTCCCAAGGTGCTTGGATTACAGGCACAAGCCACCATACCTGACCCAGTATTCAGACTTCTGAACCATCATTTATTTATGGTTACATGGCATTGCATTGTATGGTTATACCATAACTTATTTTACTAATTCTGTTTTCAATTTTTGTTGCTGTTACAAACAAAGATCTCCTTTTCAAGCTTGTCTTTTTTCTATAGGATAGTCCTTTTATAATGGGCATACCATGCATATGGCCATATCTTTTCTGTGTAATAGTTTATATTTTGAAATATTTAAAATATACCAAAAAGATAGAAAGTAGTATAGTAAACACATTTATAGCATCCACCTAGCTTTAACAATAGTAACACTATTAACAATAGTAACAATAGTAACACTTTACCATATTTTCTTCAGATTTTCTTTTCTTTGTTTTTGAGAAGGCCTCCCTCTGTCACCCAGGCTGGAGTGTAGCGGCATGATCTCAGCTCACTGAAATCTCCATCTCTGAGGTTCAAGTGGTTCTCCTACCTCAGCCTCCCTCAGCTGGGATTACAGGTGCCTGCTACCATGCCTGACTAATTTTGTATTTTTGGCAGAGACCGGGTTTTGCCATGTTGGCCAGGCTGGTCTCGAACTTCTGACCTCAAGTGATCTGCCTGCCTCGGCCTCCCAAAGTTCTGGGATTACAGACGTGAGCCACTGCACCTAGCCAGATTTTCTTTAAAGAAATACCAAAGTACAAAATGTTAAGATGCTACCGCCCCTACCCACCTTCCCTACCTGCTCCCCTACCCACTTCTTTTCCCACCCTTCCTCTCTAGAGGTGATCATTAATTCCTATGCACTTTTTTTTTTTGACTCTTTATTCTTTTCTTTTTTTCTTTTCTTTTTTTTTTTGAGACAGAATTTTGGTTTTGTTTCCCAGTCTGGAGTGCAGTGGTGCGATCTTGGCTCACTGCAACCTCTGCCTCCCTGGTTCAAGTGATTCTCCTGCCTCAGCCTCCTGAGTAGCTGGGATTACAGGCACCCGCTATGGCACTTGGCTAATCTTTTGTATTTTTAGTAGAGATGGGGTTTCACCATGTTGGCCAGACTGGTCTTGAACTCCTGACTTCAGGTGATCCACCTGCCTTGGCCTCCCAAAGTGCTGGGATTACAGGTGTGAACCACTGCACCCGGCCACTCTTTATTCTTTTGCATACCTGTGACAACATAAAAAATTCATTTGGGGTATTTATTTCACCCAGGCTCGAGTGCAGTGGCACAATCATAGCTCACTGCAGCCTCAAACTCCTGGGCTCAAGCAATCCTCTCACCTCAGCCTCCTGGGTAGCTAGGACTATAGGCATATGACACCATACCTAGCTCTTAGGTGTGAATTTTTCTTTTTCTTTTTTTTGTAGACACGGGGTCTTGCTATGTTGCCCAGGCTGTTCTTGAATTCCTGGCCCCAAGCAGTCCCCTAGCCTTGGCCTCTCAAAGTGCTGGAATTACAGATATGAACACCCAGCCTTTTCTTGGGATTTAAAAATGTATAAATTATATCACTCTGTGGATATACTTTTGTGCTTTTATTTCCCACTTGATGGTTTTGAGACTTATTCATTCATTCATTTTAGCAATTTTGGAGTATTACAGTCTATTTCTTTAAAAAAACATTATGCAAACTTTTATTTAAAAAAGCACAAATATACAGCCTTTTTTTTTTTTTACTTCAGTTATGTGGTATATTGCATTTTCCAATTAGTTTAAAGCTTTAATGCTCAAGGATGCCTCTGCTTTCAGTTGTACATGGGCCTGAAGCATCCTAGGTTTTGGCAAGCGGACAGGACACGCAACAAAAACCAAAATAGGAACATTAATGCGGGGCACATCTGTAAACCTATTATGCACTTGAAAATTACAGTATCAGTCAAAGTGATAGAGTTTTTCAGGTGAAATGAAACTATCTGCAACTGGCTTACCACAAGTTTCTGAATCTGGACTGATATAATAAGTTATATATATATTATATATACATATATATTTGAAAAGTTTTGTTTACCTCAGTGGGAAGGGCTTATTTACATCAAGTTTGAATCTATGCTTCTACTTGTAAAATCTAAGTAGGGGATATTCCAGTATATTGTATGTATGTATGTATGTATGTATGTATGTATGTATGTATGTAGAGACAGGGCCTCACTGTGTTGCCCAGGCTGGTCTTGAATACCTGGCCTCAAGTGATCCTCCTGCCTTAGCCTCCCCAAGTATTGGGATTACAGGCGTGGGCCACCCCACCTGGCCTCCAGTATGTTTCTGTACCACAATGTCATGTTCCAGTAAGTTAAAGAAAAAAACTTCAACATCAAAACTTTCAGAATATGTGTCAATGGCTTAGAAGAAAATACCAGAGATAATAATAGAGACTTTTTCATGAAATGTTGCATTAGCACTTCTTGATGGCGAGAATGAGTGTCAGAGACTCTAAGTTGAAAAGTGATTTAGAAGAGTTGGACTCTGAATATGAAGTCTTAAGAGTATCTTACTTTATTTATTTTGCCTATGTTATTAATGCAGAGGAATAATATATGATAAAAAATTGTATAAATATATTTAAAAAGCTCTTATGGTAAATATAAAAAATGTATGAGTGATAAGAAAGTATTATGTGATGGTTGAAGTGATAGCATTTTTCTTTTAGTCTATGAAGAATGGTGCATCTTGTAATGAGTGACATTTTTAGATTCAATGAAATATGATACTATTTATACACTGGTGGACTCAATGCTAATATTTATTTAGGGTTTTACATGTATTCATAAGCACCGGTGGCCTATAGTTTTTCTCGTTCTACTTTCCTTGTCTAACTTTTGGGTCTGTGACATATTAGCCTCATAAAATTAGTTGAGGAATTATTACTGTATGTTTTTTGTGGAGGTTTGAGTCAGTAAGATAGAGGGTTATCTATTTCTTGACAGTTTTGTCTGAGCCTAGTAGTTTTTTAAATGGAAGGAATAGATTTTTGACTACTGATTCAATTTTCTTCATTATTTTAAGTCTCGTGGTTTTTTTTTTTTTTTTTTTTTTTGAGACAGAGTCTCGCACTGTCATACAGGCTGTAGTGCAGTGGTGTGATCTCAGCTCACTGCAATCTCCACCTCCTAGGTTCAAGCAATTCTCCTGCCTCAGACTCTTGAGTAGCTGTGACTACAGGCATGCACCACCATGCCCAGCTAATTTTTTTGTAGTTTTAGTAGAGACGGGATTTCACCGTGCTGGCCAGGATGGTCTCAATCTCCTGACCTTGTGATCCATCTGCCTCACAAAGTGCTGGGATTACAGGCGTGAGCCACCACACCTGGCAGTTCTCATGTTTTCTATTTCCTTTTGAGGATGTTTTGATAATTTATATTTTTATAGAAATGCTTTATAAAATGATGCTTTTTCCCTTAAAGTCTTATCTTGTTTTATATTAGTCTAGCAATGCCAGCTCTATTTTAGTGCAGGGGATGGGGAAAGGATACTATTTTTCTAGTATCTTTTCTCATCCTTTTATGAAATTTCTTTGTTTTTAGTTATTAAGTATGTCTCTAAAAACACATTATTGCTAGATTTTATTAATTTAATAACTCACTGCAACCTCAATCTCCTGGGCTCAAGGGATTCTCCTGCCTTAGCCTCCCAAGTAGTTGAGACTACAGGTGTGCACCACCATACGCGGCTCATTTATTTTTATTTTTAGTGGGGATGGGGGTCTCACGATGTTGCCCAGGCTGGTGTGGAACTTCTGAGCTGGACCGAGCCTCCTGCCTTGGACTCCTAAAGTGCTGGGATTACAGGAATAAACCACTGAGTCCAGCCAGTTTTATCACTTTAAAAAATTAATTTACTTGGATAGTAACTGGTGAGTTTAGTTTATTTTTGATGATTATTGATAGATTTATTTCTACCATATAATTTTGATACTTTTTGTTTATGCTTTTTTTTTTAAAAAATGCTGTCTCTTTTTACTACCTTTTGTTAGATTGATTCAGTTTTGTCTACTCCTATTTTTTCTCTCTGATGGCTTGGAAAGGATATATTCTATTTTTATTACTGTAGGGTTAATTTAAAAATTTTAACTTGCATACTTAACACAGTAACTCTGCTACTCTCTAACAATACAAAGGCCTTAAAACATTTAAATATAGTAATTCCTCCTGTGTTTAAATGTGTTCTCATTCAATATTTTAGTTTCATCTTATTTTTAAATCTCTTAAATTAGTTATAGTAACAATCACTATTATTTTATAAAGTCAGTTTCTGTTTAGATTTTCCATATGTTTATTCATTTCTTTGTTCACCACTCTTTCTTGCAGCTGTCTTCCTTCCGGGTTCACTTTCTTACTGCTATGTATTTCTTTGTCCTTCTAGTGTACATCTGGTAGTAATACTCTAGTTTTGTTTCCCTCAGAAAGTCTTTATTGCTCCTTACTGTTAAGTGATAGTTTACTAAGTTACCCATTGTTTTCTATCACACTTTGAAAATATTATCTCATTGTTTTCTGCTATTGTACAGGCTTCTTTGTTATGACACATATTTCCAAGTTCCCTTCCATAGGGTTTATACCAATTTGCACTCTCAATGGCAAGTTATAAACATGGGACCATTTTCACCTTTTTTTTTTTTTAAACCCTCAGGTGGTGTAATTTCATGATCCACACCTGAGCATGGTGTAGGCCTAGCGCTTCAGTTTCTCATAGGCATCCTGAGCAAAGCAAGTTTTCCCATTACTTCATTTGGCAGGTGGGTGGAGTGCATCTAGCCTCTGTATTGGCCTCCATGAATGTGCCTTTTTAAGACTCTTGTTTCATTTAGGGCCTTTAGCTTCAATTGCTTCCTTCAAGTGTGGCCCTGTTTCTGTGTGGGTGTTAAAAGCCTGACATTTAGACTACATTTTACATCTAGTTTCTTATTTTCTCTGGTTTCTATAGTTCACCTTCAGCTTGTCACTCTGTTTTGGCTTTCTTTTGAAGAAAACTTCCCTTTCTCTTTTTTAGGCACAGCCATATAGTTTGTTTTTGTTTTGTTTGTTCTTTATTTACTTTAATGGTAAAATATACATAACATGAAATTTACCCTTTTAACCCCTTTTAAGTGTATAGTTCAGTGGCATTAGGTACATGTGCATTGTTGTGCAACCATCACCACTGCCTATCTCTAGTATGTCTTTTCCTTGCAAACCTGAAACTCTATACCCATTAAACAATAACTGTGCGTTTCCCCCTCCCCCGGCCCTTGTTAACCACATTCTTCTTTCTGTCTCTATAAATTTGACTAACTGATGTACCTTATATGAAGGCGATCATACAGTCTTTTGATCACAAGCTTATTTCATTTAGCATCATGTTGTCTAGGTTCATTCATGTTGTAGTGTCAGAATTTCTTTCTAAGGCTGAATAATATTCCATTATATGTACCTACCACATTTTATTTATTTATTCATCCATTGATGGGCACTTGGGTTATTTCTACCTTTTGACTATTACGAATAATGCTGCTATGAACATGGGTGTGCACATATCTGTTTGTCCCTACTTCAGTTCTTTTGAATATATACCAAGAAGTAGAATTGCTGTATCACATGGTTATTCTATTTTTAATTTCTTGAGGAATTTCTTTACATTTTTGTACTCTCCAGCAGTACACAAGGGTACTAATTTATATCTTCACCAATATTTGTTATTTTTTGATAACAGCCATTCTAATGGGTATGAAGTGGTATCTCATTGCAAGCCATATATTTCCTCTAGCATTTTTATGTCTGTAAATTAGGGGTGAGGTAGAGGGTGGTCCACATTAGCTAAGACTACTATGTGCTAGAACTGCTGGACCTATCTATTTTTAATGCATGTGTTAGTCCGTTTTCATGCTGCTGATAAAGACATACCCAAGACTGGGAAGAAAAGAGGTTTAATTTGATTTACAGTTCCGCATGGCTGGGGAGGCCTCAAAATCATGGCAGGACGTGAAATCACTTCTTACATGGTGGTGGTAAGAGAAAAATGAGGAAGAAGGAAAAGCAGAATCCCCTGATAAACCCATCAGATCTTGTGAGACTTATTCATTATCACAAGAATAGCATGGGAAAGACCAGCCCCCATGATTCAATTACCTCCCACTGGGGCCTTTCCAGAAAACCTGGGAATTCTGGGAAATAGAATTCAAGTTGAGATTTTGGTGGGGGCACAGCCAGACCATATTATTCTGCCCCTGGCCCCTCCCAAATCTCATGTCCTCACATTTTAAAACTAATCATGCCTTTCCAACAGTCCCCCAAAGTCTTAACTCATTTCAACGTTAATTGAAAACTCCACAGTCCAAAGTTGCATCTGAGACAAGGCAAGTCCCTTCTGCCTATGAGCCTGTAAAATCAAAAGCAAGCTAGTACTTCCTAGATATAATGGGGATACAGATACTGGGCAAATACAGCCATTCCAAATGGGAGAAATTGGCCAAAACAAAGGGGTTACAGGGCCCATACAAGTCTGAAATCCAGTGGGGCAGTCAAATTTTAAAGCTCCAAAATGATCTCCTTTGGCTACAGGTCTCACATTCAGGTTATGCTGGTGCAAGAGGTGGGTTCCCATGGTCTTGGGCAGCTCTGCTTCTGTGGCTTTGCAGGGTACAGCCTCCCTCCTGGCTGCTTTCACGAGCTGGCATTGAGTGTCTGTGTCTCTTCCAGGTGCACAATGCAAGCTGTCAGTGGCTCTACCATTCTGGGGTCTGGAGGAAAGTGGTCCTCTTCTCACAGCTCCACTAGGCAGTGCCCCAGTAGGAACTCTGTGTAAGGGCTCTAACCCTACATGTCCCTTCCACACTGCCCTAGCAGAAGTTCCCCATGAGAGCCCTGCCCCTGCAGCAAACTTTCCTGGGTATCCAGGTGTTTCCATACATCTTCTGAAATCTAGGTGGAGGTTCCTAAACTTCAATTCTTGACCTCTATGTACCCACAGGCTCAGTACCACATGGAAGCTCCCAAGGCTTGGGGCTTCCACCCTCTAAAGCCACAGCCTGAGCTCTGCAATGGCCCCTTTCAGCCATGGCTAGAGCAGCTGGGACACAGGGCACCAAGTCCCTAGACTACACACAGCGTGGGGACCCTGGGCCTGGCCCACAAAACCACTTTTTCCTCCTGGGTCTCTGGGCTTGTGATGGGAGGGGCTGCTGTGAAGGTCTCTGACATGGTCTGGGGCCATCTTTCCAGTGGTCTTGGGGATTAACATTACACTCCTGGCTACTTAGGCAAATTTCTGCAGCCCACTTGAATTTCTCCCTAGAAAATGAGTTTTTCTTTTCTATCACATAGTCAGGCTGCAAATTTTCTGAACTTCTATGCTCTGTTTCCCATTTAAAACTGGATGAATGCTTTTAACCGTACCTAGGTCACCTCTTGAATGCTTTGCTGTTTAGAAATTTCTTCTGCCAGATAGCCTAAATAATCTATCTCAAGTTCAAAGTTCCACAAATCTCTAGGGCAGGGGCAAAATGCTGTCTGTCTTTGCTAAAACATAACAAGAGTCACCTGTGATTCAGTTCCCAGCAAGTTCCTCATCTCCATCTGAGACCACCTCAGCCTGGACCTTATTGTTCATATTACTATCAGCGTTTTGGTCAAAGCCATTCAACAAGTCTAGGAAGTTCCAAACTTTCCTGCCTTCTTCTGAGCCCTCCAAACTGTTCCAGCCTCTGCTTGTTACCCAGATTCAAAGTCGCTTCGACATTTTTGGGTATCTTTTTAGCAACACCCCATTCTACTAGTATCAATTCACTGTATTGGTCCATTTTCATGCTGCTGATAAAGACATACCTGAGACTGGGAAGAAAAAGAAGCTTAATTGGACTTACAGTTCCACATGACTGGAGAGGCCTGAGAATTATGGTGGGAGGCAAAAGGCACTTCTTACATGGCAGTGGCAAGAGAAAAATGAGGAAGAAGGAAAAGTGGAAACCTCAATAAACCCATCAGATCCCATGAGACTTACTCACTGTCATGAGAATAGCAGGGGAAAGACCAGCCCCTATGATTCAATTACCTCTACTGGGTCCCTCCTACAACATGTGGGAATTTTGGGAAATACAATTCAAGTTGAGATTTGGGTGGGGGCACAGCCAAACCATATCAATGCAAATTATTTAACTAATTTTACTGTCTGTTGGAGAATGTCCAACTTTTAAGTACATAAAAAATTCATGACAGTTCCCTTAAAAATAAAAAAGACTTTATCCTAAGATTTGTTTCATAAATCTCCCAGCTACAGTTAAAATATCATGAGCCAAGAATTGCTATCCCCTGTCTGCCATTCTCCTAACTGCTTGTTTCTTACCTATCTTTTTTTACAGTCCTTTCTGTAACAATAACTATTTCTTTGCGATCACTTTATTGGTGCCCTCACTATTGCTTTATGTTTTGATCCTGTCTCATAGTCATACATTACTACCCTCCCAGCCTCCCACAATACCACTGCCATCCCAGGGTTTTGGCTCTTGAACATAATTCAGTTTAATACCTCCAGGTATTAAGGCCTTCTAACAATCCATTCACTCTTCCTTTACAGCTGCCTATATAATTGTCAAAGAGATCTAGGGGAGCACGGATATAGTCATTAAGGACATCCCCAGTGACTCTGTAAATAGTCTTGCTTTCCTTATTCTATTCTAGATTGAAGTCTTTAATGAGGAAATCAAGTGCTGCACAAATTAGATTTAATTTTCAGTTACACTTTTCCTGGCCTGATGTTTAGGCTAATAGGAAAGGGATGGAGATGGAAGCCTGGAAGATCAGTGTTTTGGTTGACTTTAGTGAAAAACAAACATATGCTGCTAATCATTTTATAAAGACAGCCTTATAGTATTGAATTGATTGTGGATTCCTGACTCCCCTGATCTTTAGCTATTTCACAAATATTAGCCGTTCTTTAAAGAGGACACTCGAGCATCCAAGCTGGGTCTTTAGTGTGAGGGATATTATGTTTGAGGATGACAGAGAGAGAAGGGAAGTGCCAGGGTGCTGGTATTTCCCTAGAGCCCATAGATGGTAAGAATGGGTTTCCCATGGGCCTGACTTGCCATCTTCTCCATGCTTGGCAGAGTTCTTGGCATTAAAGAACTGAGCTAATGATGGTTACAATGAACAATGACTACAGTCTCTTTCCTTCTGAGACTTTCTCAATTGCTTAGTCCAAGAATCACCTGGCATACCCCTATGTTTGTTTGCTGCCTGGGCCAGGATGAGGCCAAGTGCCTTGTTGGACAAATAGCCTGTGGGCCTGTATCTGGCCTCTGCCCATAACTTGGAGATAAATTTAGATGCAGAGGTTGAGGAATAGGTTTGGGCCATATGCTTGCCTGGCAGGTGCTTCACAAAAGCTCAAAATGCATAAGGAAAGGATTTGAGAGCAGTGAGCTTAAAATGATTTTTCCTATTGCCTCTTTCTTCTATAGTCCTGGTGCTGTATATAAGGGCCAGTTGGTCATGCATTGTTAGTGGGGGTACTGTTAATATGTGGGAGACACTATTCATTTTGTGTGACTGTTCTATCAATCGTAGAACTTCCTAGAGATTGTAGGATGTTTCACACCCCTGGCATCCAGGCACTAAAGGCCAGTAGCACCCTCCATTCTTTGTGACAGCCAGAGATGCCCCTGTGTTTCCAGATATGCTCAGAAAGATGGTACAATTGAAGGAAACTTTAACTCATCAGGAGTCTACTTACTCATACATCGTTTGGATACTTGGTCCTTTGTCTTCACTAAACCTTAGTCTTAAAAGTACTCTTTTCTACTCTATGCCCCAATCTAGTTTGGAGAATGTGGTAGACTATCCTATGAGAAGGACAGTGTTGGAAACCCCATGTGTCATGGAGGTGTCTTTGTGAAACAGGGTTGGGTTGGCAATTAAGAATGTTGGGGCTGGGCTTGGTGCCTCATGCCTGTAATCCCAGCACTTTGGGAGATGGAGGAAGGAGGATTGTTTGAGCCCAGGAGTTCAAGAGCAGCCTGAGCAATATGGCAAGACTTCATCTCTACAAAAAAATATAAAATTAGCGCCACATGGTGGTATGCACCTGTAGTCCCAGCTACTCAGGAGGCTGAGATGGGAGGATCGCTTAAACTGAGGAGTTCAAGGTCATAATGAACTTTGATTGCACCACTACACTCCAGCCTGGGTAACAGAGCAAAACCCTGTCTCTAAAACAAAACAAACAAAAAAGAAGAATGGCAGCTCTGGAGCCATAGTGTGGAACCATATCCCACCTCTGCCATCTATCAGCTGTTTGATGTCAGGCTAGTCACTTAGCCTCAGTTTTCTAGTCTAAATGGAAGATAATATTTTATCTATCTTGCAGGATTGTTGTGAGGATAAGTCAGTATGTGTTGATTGCTATACAAAGTGCTTGAGCCATACTTTGTGCCTAACAACTGCTTAGCTACTATTATTTTTATTATCATCAATAGTTACGCATCAGTATGCATTGGGCATGCAGTTTGTAACATAAATAGAGCAAAATCAACTAATGGCAATAACTCTGCAAACTTCTGCCTCTAGCACTGGAGAAGTGTCAATACTGCTTTGGCTGTGGGACCAGGATCCTGCTGCCTGGAGGCAGACTGGAGACAGGGGTTTGCCAAATACACGTTTGCTTTCCTGTTCCCCTTTTGGCATTCTCTGTCTCTTCCCCAGAACTGTGACTGATGAGATATGCAGTTTGAGGGACTTAATGTTGCTGAAAGGTCACAGGCCTATAAAGCCATTTTTCCTATGGTGCAGGGAAAATATTTCTGCCTAAGCACTGCATGACATGAAGTGAGAGCCCCCCTTTTCTGTTACTTTATTACTATCACATTAAACTTTCTAGAGATGCAGGCTTAACCTTACACCTATAAGCTAAGGGAGTACAGTTTGAAGGTACCAAGAATGTCCTGACATTCAAACTTGCTACCTCCTATAGCTAAAATTCCAACATTAGCATTTTTTTGTTTGGGTTTTTGTTTTAAAAGTAAGTATGTAGAAAAGAGTTATAGCAGGCCCAGATTTTATCCTTTGAAAGGCCTGCTTTCAAGGTTGGAACTCGGTTGGCATCTGGGAATTTGGATTTGGGAGCGTTCCCACTACCCTGTGTCCAGACTGTCCATATGATTTATGCTGAATACCTGCTTTTCTTTTAGGAATATGAATTTTGGGTACATATGGGTACATAGGCATGCAGTTGCTATATAATCGACCTCTAATAAAGATCCTGGACTCTGAGTTTCTAATGTGCTTTCCTTGTTGGCAACATTTTACACATTGTCAATTTGTTGCTGGAAAAATTAAGAACATCTTGCCTGACTCCACTGAGAGAGGACCTTGGAAATTTGCACTTAACTTTCCTCTGGACTTATCCCATGTGCCAGATGCGATGATTTGCTGATTTTGCTTTGTAGCATTTCTCTGTAATAAACTATAGCCATGAATGTAACTACATGGTGAATTCTGAATTATCACTATAGCCATGAATGTAACTACATGGTGAATTCTGAATTATCGAACCCCAGAAGTGGTCTTGTGGGCCCCTGACACAGCAAGTATTCTGGACATCAAAGAAAAGAACACTACAGATCAATATCTGAGCAAACTTCTTCAATGAAATATTAGCAAACTAATCCAGCATCATATAAAAAAGATTATACAATATGACCAAGTGGGATTTATCCCAGGAATGCAAGGTTGGTTTAATATCAAAAAAATCAATTAATATAATATACTATCTTAGTAGAATAAAGGACAAAACTACACAATTATTTCAATATACACACAAATTATTTACAAAATCTATGATAAAAGCTCAAACTTAGAGTGAAAGAAACTTCCTTAACCTGATAAAAGGCATCTATGAAAAACCTACAGGAAACATCATACTTCAGGGTGAAAGCCTGAATGCATTCTACCTAAGATCAGAAACAAATCAAGGATGCCCATTCTTCTTCAACATAATACTAGAGGTTTTAGCTAATGCCATTAGGCAAGAAAGGGCATATATCTTTCAGAAAATAATTTTCCGAAATTATTTTCAGACAACATGATCCAGTCTCTAGAAAATTCTAAGGAATTCATAAATATAAGTATTCCTGAGAAAAGGGCATATTGTCAAGTTTGTGTAAAGTGAGTTTATAGGATTTTCTATGGGATTTCTGAAAGAGTCTGGCAACTTGGAGTTTGGAGGCGGAGGATATATTAAATGGGGAATTAAAAATCTTTCTGTTGTCTGGTATGTGGTTAACTTATCTACTAGAGTGCATAGGTAAGGTGGAAGGCAATCTACTCCAATGTGCACGTCTAAGACAAGAGCAGGGGATGTAAAGATTGTCAGCTGTGCTAAACACTCCTGTGGTGTTTGTGCCTCTCCTAAGTTACCGAGAGTGATTTTCTAAAGGGTTGTTACCAAAGGGGTTGGAGGAGTGTATAGCTTTTGGAACCAGAAAGATTCAAGTTTGAATCCCACTTCTTAATTGTTGGATTTTAGGCACGCTGTCAGCCTGTTTCCATATGGGGATGATGGTAAAGCTACTGTATAAGTCAAGACATGCCTGTGGCTGCCTGCATTTGAGATCAGGAATGACATTAACTGAAGCAATATAGAAGTTTATTTTTCTCAGTCTGGACATGGTGGCTCACGCCTGTAATCCCAGCACTTTTGGGAGGCCAAGGCAGGCAGATCACTAGAGGTCAGGAGTTTGAGACCAGTCTGACCAACATGGTGAAACCCTGTCTCTAGGTAATACAAAATTACCCAGGCATGGTGATGTGTGCCTATAATCCCAGCTACTTGGGAGGCTGAGGCACGAGAATTGCTTGAACCCAGGAGGCAGAGGTTGCAGTGGGCTGAGATCACACCACTGCAGTCTAGCCTGGGCAACCAGAACAAGACTCTGTCTCAAAAAAAAAAAAAGTTAATTTTTCTCTCATGTTCAGAGGCAGGGAAATCAGGATTTGTGTATAGCAGTTTCTCACTATTATCTGAGGCCCAGGCTTCTAATTTTTTTGTTCCACTATTCTGAGCACATAATTTTCATCCTCAAACTTGTCTCTATGATCTACCATGTCTTTTGGACTTTCAGCCATTATAATAGAGTAGAAAGGCCCACCTCAGCAGTCTCACTTCCTCTTAAGAAGCTTTTCTAGAAGTCCCACACAATGACTTCTTCTGACATTTCATTAACTAGAACTTAGCCCTATGGCTACACCTAATTGCAACAGAGGCTTTAAAATGTAGTCTTTAGTTAGTCACATTGGCAATTAAACCAGGGTTCTCATGCTGAGAAGGTAGAAAGAAGGATGCCGGACAGGAAAAGCAGTCTCAGCTTCATATAGCCTGCTGAGCTAATGGAAGGGGTTGGTGATAGAATGCATGAAAAATGCCAAGCACAGAGCAGGATCTCATGAATGCTCCCCTGCCTGTACCTGTCCCACCCCTGCTCATGTGCTTCAGCCAAGAGTAAGATGACTGTTCCTTATGGGGCTGTGTATAGGTGCAGGTGAGAGGGGCCTATACCTGTACCAAGGGATCCTTCCAAGGCCAGTGTCTTTCCCATGTTCAAATACTTTTGGGTCACTACCTGCCACTAAACAGGTACCCAGAAGTGCCTTTTGGATGAATAAAAGAGCATGGGAAGGGGAGACAGATAAACCTTGTATTTGAATTTTGTCTTTGCCATCCCCTAGTAAGGTTACTTCTTGAATCTAAGTGTTCTCAACTATAAATTGGTGATGATAATACTTAATCTACGGAGTTGTTGAAAGGATCAGATAGAAAGGCACTGTGTAAACTTCCCAAGCACCAAATGGATAGTGTCACCATTGAATTTTATGGGGAGAAAATAGGCCAGGAGTGGTGGCACACGCCTGTAATCCCAGCACTTTGGGAGGCTGAGGCTGGTGGATCACCTGAGGTCAGGAGTTTGAGACCAGCCTGGCCAACATGGTGAAAACCCGTCTCTACTAAAAATATATAAATGAGCCAGTTGACGTGGTGTGCACCTGTAATCCCAGTTACTCAAAAGGCTGAGGCAGGAGAATCACTTGAACCTGGGAGGTGGAGGTTGCAGTGAGCTGAGATGGCACCATTGCACTCCATCTGGCTTGGGTGACAGAGTGAGACTCTGTGAAAGACAGAAAGACAAAAAGAAGAAAGGAAGAAAGAAAGAAAAAGAAAGGAAGGAAGAAAGAAGGAAGGAAAAGAAGAAAAAAGAGAAAGAAAGCAAGAAAGAAAGCAAGAAAGAAAAAGAAAACAGTGTGAAAGGCAACATTTGTCCCCTGAGCTTCTCATCTACCTCTTGCTCTACCTGCTTCTCTTCAAGCCATCTTTGTCCAGGTTCCTGTCTTGTACATCCTTATAGTTAGAAACACAGACTCTGAAGCTGGCCTAACTGGTTCAAACTCCAGCTCTGCCACTTAACTGGTGACTCTGGATAAATCACTTCTCTGCCTCAGCTTAAGTCACTTCTCTGTGCCTCAGCTTCCTCATCTATAAAATGGAGATTATAATAGTATCCAGCTCATAGGGTTGGGAAGATGAAGGGACTTCAAATAAAATTTTAAGAACAGTGCCTGGTGCTTAGTGTTAGCTGCTATTATTATTGTTACTTGGCATTTTCCCTTCTCTCTGTCTGCTTTGTGTAAATTTTATAATCTTTTCCCTTCTCCATGGAAAGCCATATTCTGTTGTTTCCTATGAATAATGAACCATTTCTTTTTCCCTCACTATAGCCATCTAGTGAGCCTTTCCTCATTATCTCACCTCTGGAATGTCTCAGTGGATGACAAATACTTGTTGCCTCCATGTCCTCACCAAACCTTAAGAAGCAGCAGAGTATGGGCTTGGGAGGCAGGTGTTTCTGTGGCAGGGAATGGAAGGAAGGCTCCTGCCAGGAAGGGTCTTCCATATCCTTATCCCCACCCATCACAATAGCCTAAGAGGCCCCTACCTGCCTCTCCAGCCTCGTCATCTCTTTCCCTCCCAGCTCTCTCCAGCCACACTGCCCCCTCTGCTGTTCCTCCTGTCAGGCTTGTTTCTGTCTTGGGAACTTTACCTGACTCTTTTTTTTGAGATGGAGCTTCACCCAGGCTGGAGTGCAGTGGCGCAGTCTCAGCTCACTGCAACCTCCGCCTCTGGGGTTCAAGCAATTCTCCTCCCTCAGCCTTCTGAGTAGCTGGATTACAGGTGCCTGCCACCATGCCCAGCTAATTTTTATATTTTTAGTAGAGATGGGGTTTCACCATGTTGGCCAGGCTGGTCTTGAACTCCTGACCTCAGGTGATCCACCTGCCTCAGCCTCCCAAAATGCTGGGATAACAGGCATGAGCCACCACACCCAGAAAACTTTTCTCTTAGCCAAGAACACTCTTCCCCCAGACCCTCAACTCAACTTAGTTACCCTTTCTTTTTTAAAAACAGCTCCATCTCCTGCCATGTTCTGTATCTTCTGCTTTATTTTTATTTTTTGGACCAGTCATCATTATCTGAGATTAAATAAAATGCTCAATTTCTTCATTGTTCATCCCCCAAATCAGATTGGAAGATGCTCTCTGTTCCCAGTGGATTTCTTCCTGCCTAGAGCAGTCTCTGGCACATCTGCGAGCTTTGCTGATTGAGTAAATGGTTAAGGCTGACCTAGCCATGCTTCCTTTTTGAAGGATGAGCAAAAACTCCAGGAGACAGGGAGGGACTCTGGGTGGGATAGGGTCGGGGAGGTTGTGGTGGGCTTCCATAGACAGCGTTGGGATGCTGTGTGGAGCCTCTGTCTTAGCGGAACTCTACGTTCCCCTCTCTTGGCCCTGGATCCTCTGCTCCAGTAATTCCAAATAGCTACGATCAGTGTTCAAAGCAACGCCATATACATTGTCTCCTTTTGATCTTCAGAAATACCATAATTAAGTCAGGGAGGCAGAGTTCCCCTTATTTTAAGGATGAATTTTCTGACAGGGTTGACCACAGGTAAAATTGGCTTTGGAGTGACTCTGGGAAGTAGTGAGGCCTTGGCCTCAGAGACCACGCCACCTCTTGGCAGGAGAGTTTTGGTAGCTTTGCAAGTGCCTGGGTTGAATTACATGGATTCTGTGATCCTTTCAATCCTGGAGGTTTAGGATTCCTCAGTCCTGTCTTGCCCATGAGTATACTAAGGCTCAGAGTCTTACTCAAGGTAGAGATCTGGGGAGAGAGGGGCGTGAGATTCCCTGAAGCAAGGTCTGCCAAGACCCTTTAGGCCCATTTGATTTGTGCACAGCGGCGTGCAATTCCACCTCCCTCATTTCTCAAATGCCAGTGCAGTGGGGAGAATCTACGGTGCACAGCCTTCTCAAGGCCGCCAGGGTGGCCCAGGTACTACATGCCAGGATAGTCAGTGTGGAGGAGATGGGGATGAAGGACAGGGTTCCCTCCCTGGCCCAGAGCCTGCTTAATGCCACCTCCCTCCCTTCCCC